ATCTTTGACGATAGTGGTCCTGACAGATTTAAACCTGAATGAGTTTCTTTCTTCTGTTGAATGTAAAAGTTATTTTGAATAATGAGGGTAAACAAACAGTTGCTGGTCCCCAGTGACTTCCATAGTATTTTAGTTTACTACTGTCAAAGTCAATGGGGACCAGCAACTATTAGGTTACCCACATTCTTGAAATTATCTTCTTTTATGTTCAGCACAAGAAAGAAATTAATACAGGTTTGGGACAACATGACAGTGAGTAAATAATGACAGAAATTAAATTTTTGTATCTGTTTGTCTCTCAACTGTTTACTTTCACTTTAGACATGAACAACTGTGCTTATATGTAAACCTTGCGTGTTTTTCACAGCTTTAGCACAGTCAGACACAAAAGATAGCTTAGTCCAGTAATCAGGCGCTGTTTGACAGGCTTTTTGGTGTATGTGCTCATTTTAGTCGTCCACGATCAAAAATCATGATATTGCACTCCCCTAGATAGCTCACTGTTTTTTTTTTTTTTTAATGTAAATTAAAGTCTTATCAGAGATGTATGACAGCAAAGACATTTTACATTATATCTTCCTTCTCACACAAGTGCCCACATGGGACAGAGCGTGAGCGCTGTGATAAAGATCTGAGTAAATGCCATAAAATCAATCAAATTTTTTACAAGAGAATCAAAAGGGGTCATGCACAGTCTATTTCCGCATAGGTCAGAGTTTATAGTGATGATGAATACATATTCAAGAAGACAAGGTCACTTTCAGGGAGCTGGCGAGAGTTTGGATTTCAAAGCCAGAGGAAGTGCAGTCACAACGTGTACACTTTTCCATTTACAGATCCTCCTCAAGCCAGGATCCAATCCAATCCAAAAATGATTTAGCTATAGAAACATTTTCCATCGTGCTATGAAATTGATATCGTAGGAAACTGCATTGCAAATAATATGACCCGGTTCTTAGGGTTTTAAAACCAATGATATTTTCACCAGTCAGAGAATTCTTCAAATTCAATTGTTTAATAATGCAATGCATATGTGTTTTAAGCAATTTGTTCAAGTAATCACTATTTGTGCAGGTTTATATTTGCCATTGTGTTGCATTATGCTTGCAGTAATTGCAAAAATAAATAATTTAATAGGTAGGCAATGAAAGTGAGCCCTTAAAGGCAAGTGTGCATTTATCTCTATGAAAGTAATTTATCATGTAGGCCTCATTCCAAAAAAAGGACAACAAAAATGGGTTTAATGTTTGCGTACTGCAACATCCTAATACAATCTGTGATAAGTTTGATTATGCGTGAGCAGCGCCAGAAGGAATCTGCTGACATTTGCATGTTCTGATTGAGGGAGGAAATCCACAGAATGGATTTCAACATGGTAGAATATGTTAAATTTGCCAAAACGCTTAAAGCTGAATTGTGCATTTTAATATACCATTCATTATTTAAATTAAAAATCCTGACCAGCCCAACATAGCAACGTTGTTTCAACTAATGGTGTGAGTTTTGAAGCAGCGCTATTAGTTTTTCCAACCAATGGCAGGCAGGGGTAGCGTTTGGGAAACCTTTTTAAACACATCATTGATTCCATTTTGTGTCGCTTGCATTGCAAAAATTACTCACTTTAGCTAATGAACAGCTATGCGTGGGATTTATCTTTTCTTGAATGACTGGGGTTGAAATTTTGCTGAAATCTGAAAAGCTTTTTACCCAATTCTGCTGGAATAAATTCCATGTGGATGAGGAAAACACATAATTCAAATTCCTCACCGATACATCCATGAGATGAGAGTAAATGTGACCCTGGACCACAAAACCAGTCATAAGGGTACATTTTTTTTAATTGAGATTTATACATCACCTGAAAGCTTTCCATCGATGTATGGTTTGTTAGGATAGGACAATATTTGGCAGAGATACAACTATTTGAAAATCTAGAATCTGAGGGTGCAAAAAAATCAAAATACTGAGAAAATCACCGTTAAAGTTGTCCGAATTAAGTTCTTAGTAATGCATATTACTAATCAAAAATGAAGTTTTGATATATTTACAGTAGTAAATTTACAAAATATCTTCATGGAACATGATATTTACTTAGTATCCTAATGATATTTGGCATAAAAGAAAAATTGATAAATTTGACCCATACAATGTTTTTTTGGCTATTGCTACAAATATACCCAAGCGATCACAAATGAGAATATATTAAGAGCTCCACCAGTATGAGTCTCATCAAGACCTTATTTTTCTTTCCCTGCTAACAATTCTTCTCTGAAACAACTGTAATTTCCTCTTCACGAACAAACCAAAATTAGAAAAAAAAAAAAAAAAGGACGAGTATGATTAAAGTTTTACGATGTTTTGGCCCCCAATGAGGCATCTAACAGAAGACAGATGTGCTGCAGGGGACCTAACACTAAACAGCCATTCAAAGTTTTTTGCCTCTGACTTGTGCTGCTTGTTGTCAACACAGCTTTCAGTGGTCTAAAGACAACGGGCAGCCTCCACCTTTTTACACACACTATCTGCAACACAGCCGATTCTTGTAAACTACTCCCAATAAACATGCGGTTGCTGCTTTATGAGGTCGCAATTGATGCTAAAAACAGACTGGAAATGCAACAATAGAGCTGTGAGTAGGTTGTGATTAAGTGTCAGGACACATTTGGTTGTCAAAAAGCGTAATTTCAACAAACATCTATGGCAAAGTTGCAGTATGAAAAAGCTCAGCTCACACTTAATCTGATGGAGGCTTTTATTGTTTGGTCTGATTTGGACAGATGCTGGAGATCCCACACTACAGCAAGTAAATACGCCTCGTGTAACTTGCATCCAACAAAATGCATTAATTCTGTTTTGAAAAACTGTTTTTGAGTTTTACACCATTTTGGTCTGAAGATCAGTTTAGAGCTAAACCCCAAAATCTATCGAAGCTTTTGAAATGGTTGCCACCAATAGCATCTTTTTCTCATTCACACCTTCCTTAATCTCACCATTCAATGGTCCTTTGTAAGGGAGTGGAGTGTTTAGGGCAGTTTGGACAATATTGGACTGAGAGCAAAGACTAGTAAGGCTGGCCCAGGTTATTAGGGAAGGGTTCAAAGAGGTTCTGTTTAATGCAGTGTCTCTTAGGCTGTTTTCACACTTGGTTTGATTGCTTGTTCTGAAGCTAAGTTTGATTCCATTCCCCTCCTCTTGCCTCCACTGGTCTCTTTTCATGTTGTACTATTGGGTTTGAAGTAGTGTGTGTAGTAGGGCTGCACAATATATCATTTCAGCATCAACATTGCGATGTGCGCATGCACAATAGTCACATCGCAGGAGGTGCGATGCAGGGAAAAACATACATATTTTTGTGTTTGATTCAAAAGAAAAAAAAAACTTGCATAGTTCTATATTTGCCTGATATAAAGTAATTAATTCTGATTTAAGGGTTTGTAAAAAAAAAAAGTATTTACAAAGCACACATTCGTTGCTTCACGTTTTTGACATGCAGTCTCTGCGTGTGCATGATGATTTGGTCACAAAAAGAAACGCATCGTCAGTTATATGGAAATATTCTGGCTACAGAAAGGATGATGTTGACCAAAAACAGGTACTTTGTCGGGAGTGCCTTGCAGTTGTTGCCACAACACACAGAAACACGATTAATTTGTTTGATCATTTAAGTAGGCACCACAAAGCTCTGTATGACGAGTGCAAAGCCAGATCTGATTGCCGTCCAAAGCAAAAAAATATTTCGGATGCGTTTGCCAGTGTTACCCCATATGAGAAGGGTTCCAAGCGGCAGAAAGACATGGTACCAGTTAACACGGTTACCAAACAGGGTTTTACAAACATGAACCGTCACTTGACAAGCGTTATGTTATACCATCACGCACTTATTTTTTCTCAAGTTGCCATCCCAGAGCTGTACGACAAATGCAAGGCACAATTGGAAACTGAGCTATCACAAGTGAAATATTATGCAGCAACAACGGACTTGTGGTCCAGCCGAACAAAGGAGCCCTACATAAGTCTGACCATACACTTTATTGATGAGGACTTCCAGCTGAAAAGTCGCTGTTTGCAAATCATACAAGTGAGAACATCGCAATGGGGATGAGAGAAGCATTGGCTGCTTGGGGCCTGGATGAGAGACATCTCGTCTGTATAACAACAGACAATGCGGCGAACATGGTAAAGGCTGCCGCCCTCAACAAGTGGACCAGGTTGCAATAATTTGGCCACAGGCTGCATCTTGCAATTGGTAAATTATGCCCATGCATTTTTACTACTGTTGCTATTGCTATGCCATGACTTGACTTGAAATAATAAACATTTTCCTAAGTTCAGTAACTTATCAAAAATTTTAGTTTTGTAAGGCAAACTTATTTCTTTGGAAACTTTTTTTTTCTTCAAATGTTTACATTTTGCATGTGTTTACAAAAACAGTTTAATAATATGTCCCTATATTTGGGTTTTGATGAGGTAAAGGAGTTAGAACTGCACAGAATAATTCACAAATTATATTCTTTGAGATTAAATGGGTTATTTTAGCTCTTTTAAAGAAAGCATGTAGAAACTATACATGCATGTAAATATATGTAAATAATCAGTTACAATAACAGTTTTATGAGCAATGTATGCCGTGCTACAGGTATCAGCAAGAAGCTGGTGGGTCACTTTTCTCACAGCTGGAAGGCCAGAGGTGCTCTTGAAAAAGCCCAGAAGGAGCAAAATTTACTGACACATTCACTCGTATCAGAATGCCAAACAAGATGGGGTTCCAGACAAATGATGGTCAACAGGATTTTAGATCAGCAGAAGGCTTTAACTCAGGTCCTCTTTGAGGACAAGGCGGCGAGGCATCCGATTCCAACCTGGCAAGATATAGATGTCCTGGAATCTGTCAGCAAGACACTGGGCCCACTGCTGGATTTCACAGATGCACTCTCAGGAGAGGATTATGTTAGTGGCTCCTATGTGAAGCCAGTTCTTCAACACTTCAATGCTGCTAAGGCATGAGGAAGACAGACCTGACTAAGACCTTGAAGAAGGAGATGGTCTACTACATCAATGAGAACTATAAAGATTCAAGTCTCAAGCCTGCAATGGTGGATAGACTGGAATTCTTAGCCAAAAACCTCTAAGTTTGAATGAGCAAATTAATCCATACACGTCAAATTGGTGTATTTGAATATTTGGTAACACTTTACAATAGGTTCTATTAGTTAATGTTAGTTAATGTATTAACTAACATGAACAAACAATGAACAATACATTTATTACAATATTTATTAATCTTTGTTAATGTTAGGTAATGAACATACAGTCGTTCATTGTTAGTTCATGTTAATTCACAATGTGTTAACTAATGTTAACAAGCACAACTTTTGATTTTAATAATGCATTAGTAAATGTTGAAATAACATTAACTAAGATTAATAAATGCTGTAAAAGTATTGTTCATTCTTAGTTCATGTCAACTAAAGTAGTTAACTAATGTTAACTAATAAACCTATTTGTAAAGTGTTACCAAATATTTATATTTACTATATGCAACATTTGTGAGAAAGAAAATAGATTTTTTTTTATACATTTGTTGAAAAGTTGAATTTAATCTTTATTTGTTAGCTATGATGACCAACACTTGTTTTACTTTGGCATTGTTGCTAAAAAAAAGTCTGCAAAACAAAATAATTCTTCTGATATACGTTATTTATTATATGTTAAGTTTAGCCTATTACAATTTATTTGTTTTATGACAAATATTTATTTTATAAACCACTCAGGGGATTGGTGTATAGCTGCTTTTTTTCTTTCTTTCAAAATTTGTGACAAAAGATGTTTACTACTTTTCTATTTTCAAAAAGAGGTTTGTAATTGTTGAATAAAATAGAAATTAAATTACTTATTTTGTCACTCATGTTAATTCCCTAACGTTATAATGAAGTGTCCTCTTTAGTGTAGCGCTCTGTTTTAACCTGGAATACATATAGCTTCCTCATAACTGGATCGCTTCTAGACACCAGACTGCACTTCTTCATTCACAAATGAGCTCCCTTATTTTAGGGTAAGAAGCAACATTCATTATTAATTTCATAACATATTCGATCCTTGATTTGCCTGAATTGATAGTGAATAAGGTGAGTCAAATAGTGTATTAAACAACCCAAAAATAAGGCAAAAAGTAAAAGTAATTTTTCAGGGGTTTTATTATACTTTTTTATTATATTTATTTTCTATTAAGATGCCTACAAAATCACCACAATTATTCTAGAATTATTAATTATTTAATTTTTGAGCAATTCAAGACATCTGATGAACATTCCTGTATTTCGCAATATCACAAAAAAAAATATCGCAATGTCAGTTTTTTCCAATATCGTGCAGCCCTAATGTGTAGTACAGGGGTGGCCAATGTCGGTCCTGGAGAGCCACAGTCCTGCAGAGTTTTGCTGCAACCTTCATGAAAACTCACCTGCCTGTAGCTTTCTAATAACACTTAGACCCTTGATTAGCTGGTTCAGGTGTGTTTGATTAGGGTTGAAGCTGAACTCTGGTAGGTGAGTTTGATCAGGGTTGGAGCTAAACTCTGCAGCGCATTGGCCCTCCAGGGCAAGATTTGAGGAACCCTGCATTAGTGTATCCCATCATGCATCATGTTCTGGAAATAAATCGTGAGAGTTTTTGCCAAGATCTCGCGAGAGGTCACGGAACCCTTTCCAATGTATGTTAAATATTAATAATAGTTAGATATTAAATATAATTTGGTAGTAAAACAAAGAGTTGCAAGTTTTATTGGTGCAAATGAGTAGTGGTGATAATTTTGTACAACATTTGCAACTGCTTTTCATCACTTAATTATAAGCACCACTAAATTAAATTGTGTCATCTGTTATAGGGACTACTGAACAGACATTTAGAAGTTGATTTTAAAATGCAAAGCATTGAAAATAAAAATAAAGCTCTGTAAACACTTGCATTTATACAACACTATATGTGTGTCCCATCAGGTAATGAAAAGTTCACACTTGTAGTTTTCATGCTCACTTGAACACTTGGACCAAATACAGGAAATACGTCATATGAGTAGTCAAGTGGTCAAGTGCAAAGACCGCAAGTGTGGGTATTTGGACAAGGGGTGTGGCTGTCCTGGACCAACGTTGGCCACTCCTGGTATAGTACTAGATCCCCAGCATCTGCCCAAATCATCAATGTGACTACCACCATGAGCACTATCAGTTAACAGGACTCAGGACAAGAAGATGCCACGATTTCTTTCTCCAAAGGCAATTTATTCTGAGACAAGCTGCACAGAGAAATTAATTCTATTCCTAAAATGTGACTATGCTATCGACAGAGCATTGGTAGCCAACCATGCTCCTGGTGGGCTACAGCAGAGTTCAGCTCCAACCCTAAACAAACACAGCTGAACCTAATAAAGGTGTTCAGGATTACTTGATGATAAAGGGCAGGTGCGTAGGGTTGGAACTGAAATGGGCAGGATGGTGGACCTCCAGGGGCAGGTTTGGCTACCTCTGCAACAGAGGCTCTCAGATGCAATTTAGCATGGATTGTGTTTGTATTGACAGCAAATAATGCCAGAGTTCACATTAATCAAACTAGACCGATTTTCCAAGTAACTTTAGTCTTTGATTTGCTAGAACACACCACTGTTCAGAAGACAATTTTCAGACCAACCAAGTGAAGCAAAGACCAACGTCAAACAGAAGTCCAAATTCAAATTTCTAGTGCAGGGGTGTCCAATCGTGCTCTTGGAGAGCAATTGTCCTGTAGAGTTCAGCTATTAGAAATTTCCAGACAGGTGTGTTGGGGCAAGTTAGAGCAAAAAATCTGCAGGACAATGGCCTTCCAGGAGGAGAATCAGAAACTGCTGCTCTAGTGAGAAAGTGTGGGGCTGCAAGTGTAGCCTGATTAATCTTGTGGAATGAATGGATTACATGATACTAAATGCAGCATTTAATGACAGAATGCAGTTACACTTCAATGCCTTTCATATACAGAAATTAAATTCTACTTTGTGCATGCCTTCCATTGAGTGTCGAAATCCTTCTGGATTTGTGTTTCTGTGTATACAATGCATCAAAATGTAATTGCATTGAGATATTAAAGAAATCTAATTTTGTTCCCATGGCCAGATTCAATTCTGAAGACTTTACAAACATTCTTAATATTCATAACAATACACTCATCATTTGAAGAATATACAACATGTTGACACAAGTGGCTTAAGAAAATTAGCATTAAAACCATGTTTGTCTGTAATGTGCGAGAATACATAAAGCAGAAAGCTCCAGTGTTTAGATACATGACTGAATTATAACGAGGGATAAAAGCTGACCACAGAGCTGGCATGAGCTTTCAGCAGAACAGCTTGCTGTGGTACGTGCCTGAAACCTCATCCGACATGCATGTGAAACCGTCACTGGCCTATTTACACAGGGTGAACCGCTAAGCCTCGCAGCCTCCAAATCTGACACTTTTATTTTTGCCTTCCCCAGCCCCTCCATCTCCCTGCTTTATTTCCCTCTGTCTCTTGCCCTATGCAAAACAAATGTTTGTGAAAGAGTGGCGGCTCACGGTCTTACCAGAAATAGAGTCGGCGGATGGGAGTGTGGTCTGGCACAACATGAAGTGATAGCCATTAAAAACCTCAGAGACTTCATGGCTCAATGGTGGAAGACGGTAGTGTGTGTGTGTGAGCGCATAAGAGAGTGTGATCTGTCAGACCTTGACATAGACCCAATCCTGGGTTATGTCGTTCTGCTTTCTGGGCTCGTGTGGCCCTCAATGTGCCTGTATACAACACGGTTGTTGCTTTGCCAGAGCTGTCGCACCCATCACATTAGCTAAGCTGACTTACATGCTAAACATTGGCAGCACTTCTCAAAACTTTCATCTTGTCACACAAAAAGAACCGTTTGGAGTACAAGAGGAGATTGAGGCTACTCCGGCAGGATGTAGCAACTTTGAGGCAAAGCAGTTAGGAGGTATGGGTGGTCCTGTTTAGCTTGTCAGGACTCCTTGTGAGACTTCGACAGACTTTCCTCAAACTCTGCCACCCAGGAAAAAACAGGCACGAACGCTTAAGTGATCTGTTTGATAAACAAATTGATTAGTCTAGATGGGTGAGCCTACAGCTGGTTGATATTTGCTCTCACTCTCTCTGGGAACGTCTTTCCCATGTCTCACGTACTTTCGGAGGTATCAGCCATGATGCTCTGCTTGGCTGCAGCTGTTTGCACATTATACAGTGATTTTTAAAGGGGTCAACTGAAATTTCGATAGATGATTTAAAGGGATGATTTATTGAAATGACTAAAATTGAATTTTGGCACTGAATGCATAATGATGGTATGATTACCTCAGTGGAACATAGATTGTCTGTTTGGCATCAGGTGACATTATGTGCTCTGACTACATTATATTCTGGTTTGAAAACACCATTTTGCATTTTAGTAGACACATCAAACTCCCATAATTTGCACCCCGACTGAACCGCGAGGCCCTCTAACTATACCAATGTCTAACAATATACCGTAGCGTACGTTTTCCACTTCAGTAGCAACTCTAACCATTTTATCTTCGGCATTGTAAATTCAGTTGTACTATGACATGTTTGTTGCCACGGGAGGCAAAAGGAGCTTAGAGTGCAATCATATCTTGGCTCTTCTTTCAAAATGTGTTGATGTGTTTGGAGACCATACAAAAGAGAGATTTCTGTACATGAGTGGTAAAGACCAGCGGCCAGAGAGATCTGAACCCCAGCTGCTGTGGTTCTTGCGTCCTAGGAGATCTCTCACTTTTGTTTTCACCGTGAGCTCTTTAACGCACACGCATGCATACTCGTCTTTATGAATTCACCAGATTCTCTTCTCTCTGTTAAAGTCATCAATGTGTTGGACTGCAAATGGACCAAAGCACTACTTTTGTCCTTCCACAGGAGACTTTCGGGCAACCACCTGAGACACATCCCTGGCCCCGTGCTCCAAGGCCTCTACAACCTCAAAGTCCTGTAAGTAACGAAAGACAGAAAGAGCGAGAGCGTTTTTGTTTCAGTTAATGCTTATATGGAAAATAACATTCAGGGTGATTCATTCCGAAAAAGACTTTTGTTGCAGTGTCATTTACTGCCAAATTTGAAACAGAACCTCTGACAGGTGATGATTGAGGTTTTGATCTGCGGTGAATGGTCAGTGAGCTGTTCTTTATGTCTGGGTGTTTGCTGATGGTTTATTGACAGATTTTTATTTTATGGACTGTCTTAAACCCAGTTGATGGAATGGAACAGGACAGACAAAGGCCATGCAAGGAACAACTTCATTCAGGCCAACATACATCTCAGAATTTCCACATAGGATTCTATGCACCTTTCCATGTTGTCATGGATATATTAAATTTGCCCCAATATTGTAATTCAACAACCCAGTGACACTGATTTTTTTTGATTACACACCACAAGAAAATTGCCCTGCCACATCAAATCCTTTTATTGAATCATAAATCCATGTCTCTTATTCATGTCTCCATCATCAGCCAATACCTTTTCACTAATAAAAATAATTGAACAAGTTTTCTTTAACTGTTGCTAGATTTACATTTTAGTAGGATAATGACAACATGATTTTAATTTAGTTCAGTTTAATATCTTAATATGTTTTTGCTTGTTTTGAAAACAAGATAATGTCTGTTATTGTCAGAGATCTTATTTCAGTGGTCAATGTAGACAAAAAGGGATTGGGTTGGGTATAACAATAGTTACGAATTTCTGTTTGCTTTATGTGCCCTATTGTATCTTATTCAACAACCAAACTTGTCTGAGGCCCGAGTACCCGACCTTCTGACGTTTTATCTAATGTTCAGTTTTCAATGAGCCAGTCAGAATCACATGTAAATGTCAAAGCATATAAACCAAAGCCTAAAACTACGAGAAAAACATAACAAAAATATCACATCAAAAACATATGTTAGTGAAAATATGACAATGCCATGCAAAAGTGAAAGTACAGGGGGAATGAATACATACTTTGTGGCATTTGAATGACAAATTAATAGAGGATTATTCACAGCATCATATCAAGACTGCTGGACATTTTAAGTCTAGATGGCCATGGTGGAGCCATGATTTCCTTGATAAGGGCATCCTGCCCACAAAGGTGTATTTATTCCTTCAAACATTAGCAATTATCTGCTGCGTTGTCAAATGTCAGGAGTTTAATTTGATTGGACATGATAAAGCTGTCTGCCTTGTAATTAAACTCAACGTCTGTGGCTGTGTGCTCTCACATTGGAATAATTTGCTTTGTTCAAAGAGCTCAGTGTCATTGTTCTACCACTTCCTTTTTCTTTAGTTTTTTTATTCGACGAGTCCTGTGAGCATGACCTCAGTGTGAAACAATGGTGTATATTAAAGCAACACTGGATAGGTCGACATGCCAAGTGTAGACCTCTTGGTTGTGACCACAGCTTTAAGCTTAACAGCTGGAATAAAATGGATTCACTTGATTCAATGATTGGTCTCATGTGAAATGTTATTCTGCTTAGAAAATGCTTCCATTGTCCAACAAAGGAAGTCTAACGTGGTAGCAAAAATGTTCATCCAGAAACATTTTACATTATCAAGAATCATGTATCAAATATTACATCATAAGCACAGCACGAGTAACACAATAAATGATTTAGCACCCCTCTATCAGATAAGGTCTCTAGCAGTAGGGTTATTTGGTCCACAGTGCAATCTAGTAACTCTTGGCATTTATCTCTAATAGAGTTGATGCAGGAAAGCCCAGTTATTTATATGCCTATTAGGATCATTAGGCCCTTCATTAAAGAACTCCCCACCAGGGAGGATCAAGTTTGCAATTTGGGACACACATGGTAGTGGTAAAACAGGTGTTCTTTGGCTGTATAATAGTGAGACACATGTAATTTTTTTGTTGTGGATTTTTAAAAAAAAATTGTATTCTTGATCACACAAAAAAAAAAATTGCCATGTAGTTCTTTGCAGAGGAGATCCAACAAATAAGGAACCGAGAAAAAGTAACAAAACTCATAGTAGTTTTTGTGTGGTCTGTGCAATTCAGTATTTAAAATGCATTCAGTGGGTCTGGGTTTATACTTGTTCTCTGAGAGCTATTATCTAAATGCTAACTCACAACAGAGACTAATATGATATTCCAGAGGCCACTCTTCTTGAGGAAGACAAAACGTGACAACATCACATTTAATATCAGAACGGTGAAAAAGAGGGCTGTTGGCGCATCTGGAACCCATGAGGAAACCGCCAGACACTGTGCACTGGCTCCTGGGTGAGCGCTGGGAGATTCAATGAGCTGTGAAGAGCCCAATTTTCCATCAGTTACTCTACCCTCTTCCCTTATGTCCAAAGTTTCCCTCCTAATCGGAATCACACCCCCTTCCTAACTGGTTCCCCATGAAAAGGTCAGAATCTAAATATTGTCTGGTATTTTGTCTGGCCTTGTCCATCTGCTCCACTCACATCCACCCCTCGACTCCTTTCAATTATTCCCGATGCCAGTCAGCATCCCGGAGCAGAGCCGCACACCCACTTTTTCCAAATGAATAATTCCACGTAAGTATCCATGCGCTCATTTCCTTCTACCTTTGCGAGGCTGTTTTCATTAGAGTCATGGCATACAAATTTAATTCCTTTGCCACCAACAGAGTTTTTTCCACATGGAAGACATGCCTAGTTCCAGAAGAGGCTCCAGACGTGCATAGACTGTGTCCAGGCCCTCCCTGTAGTGAGGCAGAGACTCTGGCATTCGTCCAGCCAACTTACGCTCACTTTCAATCCCCCATAACAAAGAATATGCAGTGATTCGGCTAGGTGCTCTATCCTGAGTTCCCACAAGAGTAGAGAGGCATTTAGTTCTCAACAAACATGTAATTTAGGGTAATGATAAGATGGGGATCGGTTAAGCACTGGGGGGGCTATAAGGTTTGAAGTCCACTGGCGCCCGATGTAGACAGAGGGAAGATGAGTTGGGGCAGGACAGAGGATTGGTGATGAAACTCATCTTTGTTTCTTTACCAGAGTTTAGGACTGTAGGCTATACTTGCTACACTCAGCACAGAGCATCCTTTGATGTCAAGACCATCCTTCCAGGATTTAGTCTATGAAAGAAAGATCTGATAAAGATCCAGTAAAAGCTGAGCAACAAGGCTCACCTTCCTTAAATCAGAGGCAATGCAATACCCCTTGATCATATGATGCCTACCAATGAGATTCCACACAAAAGAGACCGCAAAAGCAATGTTTACGCATGCAATTTCAAGTCTTAAGCCTATCAAGCCAGATGATTAAGATGTCATCAGCAAGACATTGGTGTTTACCTAGCAGGGTTGCACGTCATGGAAAGTGTAGTCTGAGAATACGGGCGTTTTTCCAAGCCAAATGGCATTGTATTTTGGGTTCAAGTTCCTCTTCTGTTGATGCTCATCATGCATTATCCTCAGCTGAAGGACTTGAGGGTTGAGGAGGCCAGAGGGGACATGAGGAGAGGCCAGTGCAAAATGAATGTGTGTGAAAGGTCATGGGGGAAAAATGCAGAGGAAGTGCTTGCGGCTAACCTCACATGCTCTGCTGCTATCATACATCACGACTCACTGATCACTGATGTTCAGCACACCCCTCATCCACTGAATCCAGGGGGCAACATTCATTAGATCAAAGGCTTAAGTTGTTGACATAGGGAGGACATTCATCTTGGTTGTGGAGATGTCAAGGTCTGAG